AAATGGGTAAACAATTGTGAAATGCTCTGAATAACAAAATTATTCAGAATGGTGAGTTCAATAATCATAAAGCCTCTGAATAGTCAATTTTAACTGAAAAAACAATTCATTATCCTTATTAAGACAATTGAAGTATCTATATTCAGTTTGCATTACACAAAGAAGAAAGTTGTACCATATTGTCTGCAGTTATTGCGCCACGGAATATACTATTCAGACAAGACAAGGTTAATGGAAGTTGTGTTAGACGATTAATGTTCTTTTCTGTGACATTGTCCCAAGAATCATATAACCTTCATATGACAAGGCCAATAAAATTTGCAACAAAATGATGAATGTCCTTTTGTGTGACAGTCATTATCCTTGTCTATACAGCGCGTTATCTTTTTCTTTCTATTACTTTTTCTATATATCTCTCTGTATCGTTTTTTCGAAAGTGAAGAGTCAAGTCGAGAGACATGCGCACTGAAGTGTTGTGTGTATTTATCGCACTTAGAGTATACATATGATCTTTAGAAACACAGTGCGTTTATTTAATCTCCTTAAGTCATGATTGAATAGATCTTTACGGTTTCGTGCTGTCTGGATAATCTCCTGAGTTCGATCTTCATTTTTTTCGTTACACTTATTAATCTAATTCTGCTAACATACCAGTTTCGAGTCCAATTTGATAAAATATGTTGGATTTAGTTAATTAATGCCGACAAAAAAAGCTGTTAGCGCAATCCTTTACGGGATTAAAAATGTGAAACATGATATACCCAGTTTAAATGGTGAAGGATAAGTTTTTTTTTGTCGAAGTATTGTCATTATATTCAGTTGTGTAAGATTTTAGATATTATTTATGAAATTCTGCGCAATAAACTAAAAAAAAATGCTGTTCAGAATTAGTCTGTAGACAGTGTATAGAATTAATATAAGCACTTTAATCAATTTTTTATTTTCCGAAAAGTGTCAATGAATTTTTCTTAAGAAAAAAAAACACAAGAAAAATGTAAGTTTTGATTTGGTGAGTTTTAGTATTTTTTTTTTTTTATAAGGATACTACTGTTAATTTGATTGAACAGTGATATGTAATGGTTCGATAATAAAGCGAACAGGAATCTTCGCGTATTTGAATTCGATACAAATTAGTGCGGTAATACCATTGATTTAAAACTTACATAAAGCGGCGTAAAACATACGAAACTGTTGACTGGTCTGTGATGTTTTTAGATAATCATGTAGCTCAATATTTATGTATGAAAGAAAATGTAGCAATCAATCTATATGAATCATCAAATCCAGCGAAAGTGTCGAATGAATTCTTGAAACATCATAAATATCTAGATAGAAAAATGCTGGAATTTGAAAATAGAAAAAGCTATGACTTATTTCTTAAAGTGTTAGGAACTTAGAAATGCTTAGTTTTATTCATGTTTGAGAAAATTTATTTAGTTATTCTAGATATTGTTTAATGCAATAGGATGTATATGTATAGTTTTTGGATTAAAGTTAATTAAAACGTTCATCGAAGATAAGGCTAATAATACATCTTCATCTTCTAGCAAATCGTTTTGACAAAGTTGTTCATGATTAGATTCTTGTAATAAAACTTGAATTTTTGATCTTTCAATAATGAATTCAAACATATTATGATTAATATCGGTTACGTTAAGTTTTATTTGGTTTTGTCGAATTGAGTCTTGTGCATACAATGATCTTGTTTTACATGTTATACATTTAATAGTCTTGCCATGACATTCAACATCAGTTGAATAACACTTTGGACAAAGACAAGGCTAGTCGATTAATCCGATTGATGTTATTGTGCCTAGGGGTGGGATATTTACTTTACTTTTTATTTACTTTACTAAAGTAAAGTAACTAAAATAGTTACTTATTTACTGGTAAATAGTAACTATATATTTACTTAGCTACTAGTAACTAAGTAACTAATATTTACTTAGTTACTAGTAACTAAGTAACTTATATTTACTCACAATGGAAGGTCGGGAACTGATGAGCAGTAAGGCTGACCTTGTTCGGGTGAAATGATCACTCTTATCGAGAAACTAACGTATTTAAAATATGAGCTGCTGATGGCATACCTAAGCAGAGATATTCAATTTTTAAGTTATGTACAATTTGCTATTGGATCAAAGGTTAAAGGTCAAAGGTCAAATAATAGCAATAAAGATCAGTGGCTGATGAATGGCTCAAGTTTCCACTATACAACTCTTCATACAACAATCCAATGAATGAATCCTCCGCTCTCTGAATACCAAAGAGTGAGAAGCTTGAACCATTCATCAGCCACTGATCTTTATTGCTATTATTGAACCTTTGACCTTTGACCTTTAACCTTTGACCCAATAGCAAATTGTGCATAACTTAAAAATTGAATATCTCTGCTTAGGTACGCCATCAGCAGCTCATATTTTATATACGTTAGTTTCTCGATAAGAGTGACCATTTCACCCGAACAAGGTCAGCCTTACTGCTCATCAGTCCCCGACCTTCCATTGTAAGTATTGCTCAGACTGCGCACTGTTTTTCTTTCCGTAATTCACTAGTAATAACCAGAAGTGTTCTTAATACTGTTTGTGAAACTCACGTATGTTTCCGAAGAAAGTAGTGAGTGTAAGTTTTCAGTTTCAGGTTGGCGGCTCCCCCCTCCCCCCACCCCATTACAGACACATAGCAACGTGAAAGAGAACATTACAGACATACCCCCCATTATACATATACCCTCATTGCAGACCTCAGCTACCGGACATAAAAAAACTTCAACTTTATTTAACAATAAAAACAGAGTTGAACAGTATGAAGAATATCAGATTGACTGTCCTACAATATTCCAATGTTTTCATAGATATTGGAAAAAACTAATATAAATTTGTTAAAGTTCCTAATAATGTAATCATTGATTATTTTTTAGAATTTAAATTTGCACGTAAAAAATCAACAATAAAGAGTAATAATAGGTATTGATCGGTCATATCGATGGTATAATCGATGTAACAAACATAATTCGACCTTTTTATCAGTGTCAGACATATACAATATCACCATTTATGAATTAATTGAGATATACAATAGTGTGATGAGAGTGGCTTACAGATATAAACTACATTATTCTAATAGTCTTATTGATGAAATAATTGATGATGAAAAAAAAAGTAATTTCAAATAAAAATAAACAAAGAAAAATAATTATTATTGGGTGTATAGCAACAATAATAAAAAAAAGATCGGACGCGCTTAAACAAAAAAGAGAGTTTCAATTTTAAATGTAGAAATTAAATGATCAATTATTTTTCTTGTCAGCAATTATTTACAAAAAAAGCCTGTAGTCGACGAGAAATCTTTCAGTTTACAGATGACGTATTAAGATAACAAGACTGAAGGATATACGTGAGTTCCACATTTTAGCTCCAAAGGAGCTGCTCTAACAAGCTTTTTAGTTTAGATTTATTTTCGTGGTTCTCCATGAAATTTTTAATTCAAAATACCTACTTTTGAAAGAAGAATTGAATTTTACTTGATTTACTCTTACCTTGAAAGACACTGTGGAGAATCGGTAGATATTAGATAAGCAAAACTCAATTTGATAATATCACAATATTTCAAATCAATAAGCTGATTTGAGTTCATCTAAAATTTGCGCAAATAATTCGAAAATCACTAAAACTGAGCCTTAGAATTCAGAGTATTAATAATGGAAGCATAATTGACAAAGTTTCGTGGCTGTTTAAAAGACAATTTTGATTGTCATCAGCTATTTTTGATGTTGTTGAGTTGTCTTACATATTTCAAGAACATTTTTAGTGAATTTGAATCAGCTGTTTACTCCTTGGTTATTTGTGTCTGAGTCTATCATTGCATTTCAAAAATTTTTATGTTTATTTTTCAAATAAGTTTTGTACGAGTGAAACCTTAAGCAAATAATTCTTATTTTTAAAAAGAATTGCTAATTTATTATTTTGTCATTATTTAAAAAGGATTATGGATGACAGTTAGATAAAAGATATTTTGTTTATGATTGTAATTCAATAATCGAGAGATAAGCAATAAAGCTCTAAGAAAATTCGATGTAATATCAGATCAGTATAAGTTTGATAGAAGCTGTGAAATCTAAAATGGTTCTTCTTGCGGATAGATGATCAAAACCTTAGCTACGAAACCTATGTAAGATTCGTAGGAAGAACCATTTTACATTTCGGAGTTCCTGATAAAATTAAAATAGTTCAGTACATATTAAAAGACTTTTTTATGGTACACAGGGCGCGATGGACGATGAACATACATATATCAGATCGTCTACAAAAAAATGTTCCCACCGTACAACTATAGCAAATATGTGAAAACAACATGGATCGCGCATGCAACGAGGACGTGGTTGGAGGATTGCTAATTTGTTTTTGTGTATTAGCTCAAGACATCATCATCGAAAACAATCATGAACAATATACATACTAATCAAGCACACAAATTTTTTATATTATCGTAAATGGCAAAAGTGAAGAACTATGTTGTATTCTTGTTTAAAAATAAAAACTATAGAAAAACAAGAATCAAATTTAGTTATTGATTGATAGTTAACCTAAAATGACAGCTTTTCTATATAAGCGAACAGATATTGGTAACTATTTATTTTTTCCTATATTCAATCTCTATCGTTCAAGGCATGATAGGCTTGGATAGGGCGAGTCGAATAAGAAAAACAAGACCTCACATAACTATCTTTCAAGTGAAATACAATCGCCACAACCGATTTCGACTCTAGTCAGAAGATTGCATGAGATGGATTGTGAGAGGTATACAAGGAACCAATGGAACTGAGAGAACTAGAAGAAACCTCTGAACGAATGTGACATATGATTTTGTATATGATATTACAGGAAATTAGATGAGGTATGGGTATGTGAAGAAAAGAACAACACCCACACCCACACCCCGCAAAATGGCCACACTAAGGCAGATTTTTTATTTTAGCGATAATGATGAAGACAAAAAAATTATTGATTAAGAAATTCAGCAATTTTTTTCAACATAGACGCAATACGTGGATACCCGTCAGCTGATGCACCCTCCAGCCGATTCATGACGTAAGCAAAGGAGAAATTTTTTGTTGGTACACAAAAACCGATACTTCCACCAAATCCTATAATTAAATGTGTTGAATATCAATGAAATGTTCATATCTTTTGTTTCTCGTTACCGTCGTGACCAAAAGTATCTGGTCCAAATTCTGGGAAAATATCATGGAATAATAAAAAGCCCATACCAAACGAAACGTTTAGTTGCATGACTAGATCAATTTCACCTTCAGGTGTATTCGATCGAGTAGCTAATTTGAGAATATCTTCGTTCAATAGTCGTTTGAATTTTCCACCATCCAAATCAGTATTTAATGCTGAATACAATCTAGCAATAGATGAAGCAGTAGCAATCCCATTTGCTGCCGGTATCTCTGCTCGACGTGTGCGAGGATCATTGAATAAAGCAACTAGTTCTATGTTAGATTCGTTGATATTTTGTTTTAAATTTTCACTTAATTCGACTGGCGATACCCTATATTCCTGGTTTATTGGTAGACCAATAAAAAATTCGAAATTGATGGGATCCGACATCTCCTCTCGAATGAATTGACCCAAAGATCGTTTCTTCGGATCCACGCGTCGAATGAGTTCTCCTGCAAGCCATCCATAGGTGTATGCATGATAGCCATGTGCTGATCCAGGTGACCACAATGGTGCCATTTGTTCTAATGTATGAATCATTGCTGTCCAATCCAAGAATTGTTCGAATGGTTTCGAAATATAGGGCAATCCGGCTCGGTGGGACATTATGTCGGCTACAGTGGTATTTTCTTTTCCATTTTGTCCATATTCAGGCCAGTAACGAGTTACTAAAGCTGAATAGTCGAGAAGACCACGTTGAACTGCAAGTGCAACAGCGGCAGCAACAAGACCTTTTGAAGTCGAGAAGACCAATTGCAAAGTTTCGACATCGTAAGGTTTTGTTCGCGATTGATCAAACCATCCACCTCCTAATTCAAACGCCAATGATCCTTGATAATAAGCCGCTACGGAAGCACCCAGATCTCGATCTTGTACGAAATTTTCTCGAAATAAATTTCGAATAAATTCCCAACCAGGTTTGATAGTACCACGAATATTATAATCGACTGGCTCAGAATGAACCACTATTGAAAATATAAAAAGACACCAAACAAAAGCAACCGAGTACTTCATTCCATTTGATTGAATGAATGAATGACATTCTCATGGCGATGATAAAGATCAAGTCGAATAAATAACGATAGTTTAGGATTATGAAAAAGACATAATAATGAATATAAAAAGTATTTTGTAGATTTTGCTCGATTCTTTAATGACAAATAGATTAATTCATTGATCTTCAACGACAAAAGCAGCGACTACTAGTAAATATCGTTGTTGAATACTACGAGAATTATTCATTGTGATGAAATTTTCGTGTTGAACAAACAAAATCGTCTATTCAATTGCACGAAAACTATGGATTTCTTTTAATTTTTAAGTATATTTTCTTACTTTTTGTTAAAAACGACTCATTTTAAAATGATTCCGTCTTATACAATATTAGAGATAAAGATGTTCCTCTCTCTCCTCTTTCGATTGGTGAAAACCGCGAGTCTTCAGCTATTTGCCTTCTTGAGTTATTTAAAAAACCGTAGAGGACATTATATTTTGAAACGGTTAGTAATTCTGAAAACGTTGTTGTTCAGTTTGATACATTTACACGAAAAATAACATATTGATGCTCTCTTTTGTAAATTCATTGCCATTTGATCAAAATCTATAATTGATTTCTCTTGTTTATTTTCAGCGATTACACGTCGAACTATTATCCATTTCAAAGAAGAATGGATACGGTTGTTGGTTGAATAGCTCGACAACACTGATAGGAGCCGCTATGGCTGAATGGTTAAGTTGTTTGACACATATCCACAAGATACTGTGTTCGAACCTCGGCTCCATCAGTCATAGAATGACCTTGGACAAGTCACTAACGGTTGTTTTGTCTCGGACCACCCATCCGATAACAAATTGACTACGTTGTTGACATACACTAAATGGTCCTTGTGACTAGTATGTGGTTAGTCAGTATGTATGGGGAGCTTAAGAAATTAAGCGAGAAGAACTCTGAGTCAGGCCGGCCTTCTGTCCAGAGCTACATTTAGTAATAGATGTAGGAAAAATATCGGGCTTCTCGAAACTGTCCTCGGACAGCACCCTATACCGCAAGGTAGCCGAAAGGCGGGGTATTCTTCTTCTTCTTCTTCTTCAACACTGATAGTTATTGAGTTCAGATTTTCGCCGTTAGAAAGAGCATAGGTGGGGATACAAGTCTAATTGAGAATCAAAATGCTTGAAAAGTTTTCTAGGGAATTCCAGGAATTTTTTGAAAAATCTCTGTCTGATTCCTCTTGATTAGCTGTGTTTTCAATTTCAGTTTAGCCATATTGTAGTCCAATGTCTACTTTATAAACTCTGAAATTTTCAGGCATTTTTGACCCCTTCCTAGATATTTACCGGAAAATGAAATTACGGAATTTCGACCTGATAAGGAGGGGGACGATTTCTCCATGAAACGGTCCTAAATATAAATCATCACTCATATCATTTGGTTATTAGGCAATAGGTTTTTTTCTACAACACTACACTACTCTCGACTCAAATTCACTATTTCCAATGATACTTGAGAATATATCCCACGTACCTCTCTTTTCGGCTATATTTATAGCATATTCCACTTGAAAGAAATATAATAGCACCCAGATGATTTACATTGAAACAATACATGAAAGTCCCAAGGGTGTGGGGTGTGGGTTCAGAATGGCACTTCATGCACAGTCCCAATCACAGCCGCACGCATACCCCACAGTCACTGCCACAGCGACACCCACACACGCATCTTTTCAAGAAAAAGTCAAGATTTTTTATTTTGTCGGCATTGGGTTATGTCATAAGTATCGGAAGTTTCAAACATTATGGGACACCCGTATCCACATACTAAATCGTGAAATTGAAAATTTTTGCGAAGTGACCTCATGAGATACAAATGTGAGACTTTTTGAAAAACGAGACCTTCCGAGAAAAATGTAAGTTGGAAGAGATGGAATGACTTTTCGCGTGCTCCGTTGAGTCTCGGTATAGAGAGAACTAGAATATGCGTCATAGTAAATGGCGAAGCTTTTCTCTGTTGCTTAACGACATGGTCGCGCGTTACGGAATTTCATTTTTTCATAGTGTAACACTTATATCTCATCAATGATAAAAGTTAATCCCCTGAAATTTTTATCATATATGGAGAGTATTTAGATCCATTACCAATAAAAATTTTCTAGGTGTATATGCAGGCAAGGGTGAGCGGAGAGTTAAGCATTTTACTGTGCAATCCAGTGACATAAAACTAAACGCTCTGTATACAAATTGTTCAATTTTCCACAAGCTTTCAGAATATCGATTCATTTCTGAACAGAGTATAATTACATCAAACAGCAACCTGTAAACCCTGTTCGTTACGGAATTTCAATCGTTACAGAATTTCGTGTTTTTTTCGATTTTCTAATGGGGAAAGTTTGATATCTCGAAATCTCCAATTATCACGATATAAACTCATCTTTTCCCCAATCAACGAGCAGTACATAGACAACTCTACTGTTCGAGTATGCCAGTTTCACTCACACAACGAAATAACATTAAGAATTCTGTCTATCTTTCAGGAAAAAAAAATTAAACATAGTAGAAGTCAATACTCAATTTTTTTGATAAGATTAGTCAAAGAATTTCTTTTTGGACGGTTGTCGGATAAAAATAAAGGTATATATCGCTAGTCAACAAAGTATCTTGGAGCTTACAACATGTTTCATACACTGTCAGTGGTGCACTTGTAATTTCAGAGAGATATTTTTTTATTATTTTTGTGAGTTTAAATCTTCCGCATGTGAGGATGACCGATTCACAGCCATACCGTTAACAGACTCACCCTGTTCGAGTATCTGTCGTCGTCGAAGGCAAAATTCGAAATCATTTCAATACTTCCTACACAGGAAGAACATAAACTTTTCTCTCTTTCTCTTGCGCCTTCGCTATCTTTTTCTCTCTGTTAACTTCTTTCTCACTCTCTGAATCTCGGCGAAGAATTAATCATTTTCTGAAAATGCAGTGAGATGCCGTAAGCTGCACTTGAATAGTTGTACTGTGTGTGCAGTATCTTCTCTTCACCCTCACACCCCTGGGTGCGGGAGTGGGTGTAGGTGTGGATGTGGATGTAGGTGTAGGTGTAGATCTTCTTTTAATACACTCGCATGCGCACACCCACACCCTTCTCCGTGCAAATAAAAGCTTTACACTGATCCTGTCCTCTAAAAATATTTAGTGAATTAAGTTCGATAAATAATGGAATTCAACGGATTGAATTTTCCGGTGGACTTTTGGGACATCTTGTATATGAAAATTCAAACGAAAATATACGTGGAAAAGTAAATCTGAACTTAAAAATTACCATTAACTTAGTACAATATCATTGATTAATCTGTAAAAATTAGTCGTTGAATCGAAGCTTTATGAATAATTCCTGCGGCCGATTGATGTAATACGGCAGGAAACGAATAACCTATCACATGTCTTTATTCGTCTTATCCTATTGTCAATTTGAAAAGAAAGTTTTTCACCTGGCTAGTAGATTCTCTAACGAAATCGATTTTTATTCTATTTTAATTTTTTTGCGTTTTTTCATTTGCTCGAACACAGGGAAAATTCTTACCTTTCAAGGAGAAAAAAAATGAAGAAATTCAGTTCGAATGATTTTTATATATAAGTTGAATAGCAGACATTGGGGTTTTTCTCTTTTCTAATAATATTTTTTTAATGGAAGAAATAACAGAAAAGCATATTTTTTGCGTATTCATTGTGCTAGAGAGAAGATTAAAAATGAACGTGAACCACCGTGCGAATAAAAGTTATTAAAAAAGAAGCCAATATAAGAAACATCGTAGCAACTCACATATTTGAAGAAATACCCAGAGGTCTCGATTGGGTGTGGATGTAGTGTGGTGTGGGTGGGTATGGGTGTGGGTGTGTGAGTGTGGGAATGTCGGTGCGGTTGTGGATACAGTTGCAGGTTGTATAAAACCACACCGACACTGACACCCATACCCACACCCACCCACCCACACACACTCTTCATGACTGCAACAATGAGAGGAGAAAATCTGTCGTGAAGAGTTGTTCGTGTATATTCTCTTGTGACGATTAGTATTTATTATGATGATGAAAAATGGTAAATTCACAATCAAGAAAATTACAGGAGAAATGGTTTTCGAAAATTCTGATATGCGGCAGCGTAGAGACACACTCTCAAGTCTCAAAACAACCAAAGAATGACATTTGAATGTTTTCTAAGGTTGCACGAATTCTCATTGATGAGTCGTTATCAGGATAAACATCTGCATTGGTGAGAAAAATCATACCAATAGTTCCCTGTTCATTGATGAGCATTGAATGTGTCGCGCCAGGCATTGTGCCACCATGACCAATATATCGCTGACGATTCCTCAACTTTTGCCAGTTCCAAATCAGGCCAAAGCTGGGTAATATTAGATTTGAATTATTGGTAGTGGAGTTTGGATTTTCGTATGGCACGACACCTTGCACCACTTTTCGCATTTCGGCAATAGAGCGAGGATGCAACAGAGAAGATCCATTGCTCATAAACATTCGAAGAAATATGGAGAGTGATTGAGCTGACATCCGCAAGAGACCAGCTGGATAGATGCTCACGCTGTAGAATGGAATATATAGCCAGTCGGGCAAAGGACCCTAAACATATTTCAAACGATCTCCTTATTAATTTTCCTGGCTTTTTTACTTTTGTGATATTCAATTGTGGCAGTCCTCGATTCCATTCTTCGAGATATGAAGCATTGAATGCATAATGCTTCACCAGTTCTTTTCTATCTTCAATATCAGACAGACGAAAGCCTGCTTTTTTTACGTCGATACCTAATGGTATCAATATCTTCTCTTTGACATAATACTCATATGGCATTTGTGTCACACGTTCAACAACCAATCCTGCAAGCGATGTACCCACATTCGAGTAGAGTGTTACAGTACCTGGTGGTTTAGGCAGCCAATTCGATGCGTTGTGACTTAGATATGTGAAACAAGCATCAGCCAATGACATTCGCGTTAATGCATTGTCTTCAGGTTGCATGAAAGTAAGGTCTGTTTCTTCATTGATACCGATCGATGCTGAGTGGGAGAGCAGCTGGCGTAGAGTGATCGCATGAGAAGGATATTGTGGATGAGAGATGCGCTGATTTGGTGATGATAAGTACTGATTGATATCTTTATCGAGGTCGAGCCGATTCGACTCGACCAGTTGCATGACTGCCACAGCGATGAATGTTTTCGAGATTGAAGCAAGAACAAAAATTGATTTATTTACGTCCATCATTTTCATCGGAGAAAGAGATTGATGACCAAATGCTTCTTGATAGAGAATATCGGTGGTATTGACCATGATGACTGCCGCACCGGGAATGTGAGCATCAAGAAGTGATTGCTCGATGAATGATCGAGATGGACATACTTTGGCAGAAGCATAGCGAAGTAGAGCAACAACAGTCGACAACAACAACAAGCGCAACATGATTAGACTGTTGCTTTTGCTAGATAGGATTAGTCTTTTATTCGAAGAGAACAGGGACGTTTTAATATCATTCTATGCGAGATTAAATCCTTTTCTTTATTACTAAGATTGTATTCATTGATAGGTCAAATGCAATGAATAATCATAGTTTGAGTATAGCGATTCGAATGAAATAAATGATAAAATGCTCTCGATTTTCTTCTTCTTTAGTATTGTTAATGGAGAAACAAATGAACTAACGATTCTTCTAAATTGTTTATTTTTCAAAAAGACAATATCTTGTAGACAATGAGATAGAACTGCAATGGATTCTTCAATAAAAAAAAACTGTTTTCATTCACAAATGTTTCTATTCAGCAATGTTTGACAAAATATTCAGACAGTAGAATAGAATGAATGCTTAGTAAAGCATCTTTTGAAATATTGTCTTATACATCGAAATCAAACGAAAAATGAAAATATTGTTTAATGATAAAAAAAAGTCTTTTGATGAATTGATTTTCGATATGTTATGTAGATTTGTTATTCTCTCTCAGTAACAGTGATATTTCATCATCAACAACATTATTAAAATTTTATCATAATCAAGATATTACAATAACATCAACAATTCAATTGAATTGTAATTAATCATCATTAGTCTCAACTCAATTGGGTACTTTTCGATGTACATCAGCTGATTTGAAAGAAATTTTCTTGAATGAAATAATTAATAGAAAATCAAATGATTTATTCATTTCAGCACGAACACTTTCTAATGATCAATACAAAATGATGTTAACGGTAACAATGATTGAAGATCCGAGTACAAGAACATCTTCATTTATTCTTCTTGAAATTGTTTCATCATAAATTCTGACTAATTTAATTTGATTAACCCTTTGGGGACGGTAATACATACGTTATACCACATACTTTCCAGACCTTGCGGACAATAAAAATTGCCTTTTTGCATTTCATTTTTTCACCGCATAATACACTGTATTAAAAAAACAAAATATACCACAGGATGCAGCGTGAAAAGAACTACAATCTACAAAAGACAGGTTGTTTCATGGTTGCACTTTTTGTTTTCAAAATGGAAAAAATTCGAAGCCACTAGTTTTTGACTTTTCGAAAAAAAGAAATTTTTGGTACCATTAGCCGCACAGAATTGTGCCCATTTTGAAAACGAAAACTGCAGCTATAAAATAAGCTGTTCGTTGTAAATTGTAGAGCTTTTCACGCTGCATCTTGTGGTGTATTTTGTTTCTTTAATAATGTAAGGTGCCCGTAATTCGAATTTCGAGTAAAAATATTTCTTTTGCTTTTTTTTACACCACTCGATAGATCTTGAGCTGCTGATCACGAAAATCTACTTTTTAGCCTTAGCAAATGCTTTCTTTGGATCGAAAAATACGAAATACTGGCAAGGTGTCGGTTTTTGACGAAAACACATGTTTTGCAAAAATATGCAAAATTTCCTACTTTGTTCTTTTTATTGGCTTCTGAAAGTAATTTTTT